AAAGAATGATGACTCTGTGCGAGCTCTACTTCAAAATGAAGTAGGCAAGCGCGTAATAATGTAAATTCTGAAACAATTTCAAATTTTACACGAATATCTGTATATTATATAACTTTAAAGCGAGAAACGACAAAAAATCAAAATTTTGAATTGGTGAATTAGGAAAATTTAAATAATGACAAAAAAATCGGTATTTGGTTCTAAGTCAATTTGCGCGAAAAAGCGAGAATTAATTCTTTTTTAAGATGTGTAGTGTAAGTGGCAATCAACAAAGTGCAAGTTTGAGTAATTTATTTTTTGTAAATTTTTGAAATATTAATAAAGAACTGATGAAAATTTATAGCAAAATATTAACCCAGGTCATTTTAGTTTGAAATTACTCCCATTGCCTACCAAATCCTTCGTAAGTAGGTTTTGTTAATGGACACATATAAAACATATTATATATAGATTTTGAACTTTAATTTTATAACTATATTATTATGTTTATATGTTAGTAATAATATTTTTCGCGAACCTTTATGGATCTCATATTTCAACATATTTTAAGTAGCATACTTGAGATTAACGGCATAACAATTACATAGGCGAGTGGCTTTGACTAAACCTATACTAAATACTCAGTTTTATTAGGTTAATATTTATTTTGTCGCCTAAAATTTTAAAACAATTAATGTTCACTGTAAAATGTTCAAATAAATCAGCATTTGAAATTTGCATACTTATGCTACTAAAACGTATTGTATAAAGCTTGGCAAAGGTTTAATTTTTTATGATGTATTAAAGTTCTAAAAAGATCATTCGACCTTAACTACAGATTATTACTCATTGTAAACGATATTGTATGTGATTCGAACACATAGGTAGTAATTAATAATGTGATTTCTATGTTAAATAGTTATTACATATTTAATACCCCGAAATATGTATTTCAAAATATTACTTTAAAGCCTTCAAAACAAAAACCTTTTAAAAGAAATGCTTTCAAAAATTTCGATTCAATTATAGCAAACCAAATAATTTTGAAATGCAAAAAATCTCTTCTCCACACAACCGAGGTTATAAATCATAACACATTCCTTGCATACCAACTAACACTAGCATATTAAATAAGAGCTAATGCTTTAGTAAAACAGTAAACCAAAGTAAATGAGTGTTATTTAGGACCAAATACCGCCCAATCCAGCAAGCCTGCCTCTCCAAACTGACCAAGTCCTGTGAAATTAAGAGCAAGAAACACACATCCAAACACATAAACACATGTATACACTCATACATATATATAAATATATACACACAAACATAATGGGGCACAAAAACATTAGCTCTCCACTTAGGGCTCTTAACGATCCAAAAAATCACAAGTCAAAAACAATTATCCACTCTCAACACCACTTTACGAGTTGCCAAACCGAGGTATACTCATATACACACACACACACACGCATATATGTGCTTGGCTTAGCTTTCTGTGGTCCAACGCCAATTTGGAATTATTAGGGATAAGCCAGAAAGCCAGAAGGATGAGTCAACCATACTGAGAATTCTCTGCGGTGTCATAAAATAAATTCATAAGCACCCATAATTGTAAGCGTTTGACAGAACATGAAAAGCGGGGTGAGAGCGCGGCCGTGAGGGAGGAAAATGAGACTTGAGGAAAGTTAGTGGTTGAGTGCTAGCTACAACTACAACTATACACATGGTGATATTTAGGGGAAAAGAGCAGAAGAAATTTACGTAAGTCGCACTTGATAAGTGTTTGCATAGCGTAATGAGCTTAAATGATGTGGGGAGAGTATATATACAAGTATAGTCAAATATTCAGACATGAGTACATAAATTATCAGTTGATAAACATATACAAAGCGCAAATCGCTATTTATGTGAGAAAGTTGTGCGTGTGTGCATGTGCTTGCGACCCCTGACATATATTAAACGCTCTGGCAACACTCACACGTATACACATACATAGCACATGTGTTCCATATACAGTTACTACTTCCATATATACGAAGTAGCAGCTGCGCGTTCCCTTAACTGTGTTTTGGGGGGTGTTACCAAACCACACACACACATATATGTAATCACATACATACATACACATTTATCAAGGGTTGTTCGCACATTGTACTTTTGTTGTTCTACCGCTACCGTTACCGTTACCACTGCCATTTGTTGTATTATTTATTGCTTAACCACTTATTGTTTGTTGTTTTTGGAATTATTGCCTTTTCTATGCGCCATACACATGTACATATGATTGTATGTGTATATTATGATTATTTGATGCGCGTAAACTTTTAATTAGCTGCGCTTGAGTTTATGTTAAATTGAGAATAGCAGACACATACTTCACTTTCAAGTACGGCAACCACGAAAGGATGGCGCTTCGCAGCCTCAAAGTAGGCTATGTGGTATGAGTTAGAAACGACATATGTGTATATGTACGTACATATATATATATTTTTATTACAATTTTATAAATTTTATACTATTTAATGTAAGATTATATAAATTTGAAAAAAAATTTAAAAATTTATATAAATTTTAATTTTAGAGAACATACACACAAATGACACTTTTGGTATGCATCTATGTATGTGTGTAATATATGTACATATATTCATATATGTATGTATGTAGAGCTGCAATGCCACATTGTAATAGTTCATGTTACTCAGGTAAAATATTGCTCATATCAAAGTATGCACTCGAAATTAAGCTGGTTTATTTTCATCTTTTACTGGCACCTACACTTTAAAAATAAATAATTAATTGCATCATACATGCATACAAAATGCACAATAACGTAACATCATTTTTCATAGGTTAAAGTTAAAAGAAGAAGGAAAAAATAAATAAAATATGAACTTCTCATAAGGAAACAAAGTTGAAATTTGGGTTATAACTTGATTATACTATCTCATAGCAAAATCTTAAAATTATATATATGTATATATTATATATATGTATATATTATATATGTGTAAGTAATAAGATGTAGTAAATTTTAATCAATAATAAACTGAGTTTCGAAATGTTTTGTTGATCTTTCTTATTTGCATTTTTAAGTGACGTTATGTACATACAAATACATGTTTAAGGGGTAAGAAAACTTCAACACATACAAAAAAGTAAAAATATTTAAAAAATCTCGACAGTGTTGTTTGAAATATAACATTTTTATTATATTATTTTTTGGAATATCCGATTTCGACCGCTTATAATATCTCTCACTTAAGTTTGACCGAAATTTGTTATACCCCATTAAAATAAGAATAAAAAGGGATTGCCTTAAATTTTAGTAAATTCACTACCACAATCAATTAAAAACACTTCCAAAAGCCCAATTTCGAAATTTGAAGGCTTTTTAGACCTCAAAAACTAAGAATTTACTTTTTTACCTAAAACAAAAATTCTCAAAGGAATTTAGTTTGGTCTAAATCCCAGCGGATTATTGCACATTATCATAGGGAAAATGGGAGAAATAGCTGTTAATTTGACAATAGTTGAAATTAAACTATTGCAAAAAAATTTACTAAAATTGCTTGCATGGACGTATGTAGTAGCTGTTAGCTGAAAGATTAAGCAATTATGGAATGTTCTTGTACTTACACACACATATAGGTATACTGAGAATTTTTAAAATAATTTATTTAAATATACATTATTTTTCAGCTATTATTGGGTGTGTGAGAGGGCTCTACTAGTATTATTTCGCGTCGTGTTCATCTGTGGCTATATTAATTTCAAAGGTGCTGTCATTTCGCGTCGTTTTCAGTAGATGTCATTTGTTTTAGCGTGAACAACAATTTGTTTTATTCATTTGAAAATGTCGAAATTTGTACCAGATAAAGTGTTTTTGCGGGGAGTTCTTCTTCATTACTTTAACATGAAGAAAAGTGCTACCGAAAGCCATCGTATTTTACTGGACGTTTATGGTGACCATGTTTTAGCCGAACGAACGTGCCAAAAATGGTTTGCACGGTTTAAAACTGGCAATTTCGACGTAGACGACGTAGAACGAACCGGACAGCCAAAAAAAATTCAAGACGAAGAATTGGAGACATTGCTCGACGCAGTTAAAACTATTTGGAAAACTGTGGGTGAGAAGTTCTACCTCACCCGCCTTATAGCCCAGACATAGCACCTTCCGATTACCACTTGTTCAGATCAATGCCGAATGCCCTCACCGGAGTACGCTTCACTTCAGAACAGGGTATCAGAAATTGGCTCGATTCTCTCTTGACCTCCAAGCCGGAGAAATTCTTTTGGGATTGGATCCACAAACTGCCAGAAATATGGGCAAACATCGTAGCTTCCGATGGACAATACTTTGAACATTAAATGTATAACAATTTTTTCACAATAAAGTTTTAATTTTCGAAAAAAAAACCGCACACAAATCGAAGTAAGTTTCTTCAAGCAGAGAACTTCGATAGATCAGATCGCACTAAATATTTAGTCGCGTATTTAAATCTTTCACTGGTATTAATCAAAGATACGAACTGAGACTAATCTTTATTTACAAATTTCCAATCATATAACCAATTCCTCTCGAGCTGACTCATTAAAATTAAATTAAATTAAAAAGAAGCTCAAAAGTTGAGAAAATTTACAAATAGAACAGTAAACATCTTTATATGTAATTGTTTTCTTAACAAACAGAACGACTGCGCATTCAATGTTCCATACTCTGCCTTCTAAAGCGATAGGCTCGAGTATACCACATCCAAGCAAAAACTTCAACACCGTTACAGCACAAAAAACATGACTATCATTTCGTATATATGTAAATATAAATCAAATAATATTCAAAACTTTTCAAAAAATATTATCACAATACTCTTATACGCTTACAAATTGCGGCTAAATAGACAAAACGCAGAACAAACTCTAATTAGCTTGATAGCAATTAAATAAAAAAGCGTATATATATGTATTTTTTACTTTTACATATATATCGCCACATTGTCGAAATCGCAACTCATCGCACCTACCTGAACTGGGTCGATCACTGTAGCGCGTGCAGTACACCCACGCCGGCCAAACGATGGGACCGCTGCCGCTCGCACCTGTACCGCTGGACTTAACAGCGTTACCGCTGCCGTTCGCCTCTTCCATCGCCTTCGCGCCAAACTCCCCTGATGTACACTTCGCCCCCGACGAACTTAACTCACCATTGGCGGGCGACTTAGCATGCTCAGAGGTAGCGCCAAAGCTGCTGCTGACCGCGGTGCTATTCGAGTCGCTGCTGTTAGTGCAGATATTGGCGAGTGTGTGTGAGAAGTTTAGAGTTGCGGACGACGCTGCTGTGGTTGTTGCTGTCGACGTTGCTGCGCTGAGGTGCGTTAAATCAATCGCGGTAGAGGAACTGGCAGCGCCACCCACAGCAGAACCAACAGCTGGTAAAGCATTTGCCGCTTTACGTACGCGCTGCGTAGCGCTACAACTATTATGAGTAGTGATACCTTTTGCAGCGCGCGCAGCATTGTTACACGCTGCCATGCAGGCAGCGCCTTCCGCAAGCCGCCTGCCAAAATCCGCTTTTAATATATTGTCAATGCTAAATTTTAGCGCTGGTTCATTTAGATTGTTGTTGTTGTTGAGGTTATTATTGGTATGATTGCCGTGCGCGTATGGAAAATGCGCTTGCATTTGCGCCTGCAATTGGCTCAGGCTCGAGACGGCGCTAGCGGTTGTGGGTGAGAGTTGTGTATGCGCTGTAGTTAAAGCGCTCAATTTGTTCAGGGTATCGGTGCTATTTGGTAAATTTGTTTTATTTTGCTGTTGCGTGGCTTGGTTGTTATTAGCTACAGCCGCAACAGCAACAGCGGCTGCTGCTGCGGCAGCGCTAAGTTGTGACATTTTTGTGATAGCCGTTAATTGGGATTGTATGCCCGCGAAATTGGACATTGGTTGTGGCGCGCCCTGTAAGCGCGTAAAGGTGCGTCTATCAGGCGTCAGTGTGTCTGCAACGGCTGCGCCGCGCAATGTAAACGCGCTGGCGCGCGCCGCTGCCATCAACTGCATCTGCTGCTTCATCAATTCCTCGGCATACATGTGTGACTTACGCATAAATTCCGTTTGAAAACTAGCCGTATGGTTGGTGGTACGAGGCAGCACCGGCACAGGCATGCGTAGCGCGCTGGCCACGACATATGGGTCTAGCAGAGCGCTTGACGCTGGTTGCGCTTGCAGTGATATATGCTGCTGTTGCGCTGAGCTCGTGCCACTACCAACACTCTCCTCATCCAGCTGTTGAATGGTATTATCGTCCGTTGAGGCACTGGAACGCGCATCACTGCCATCGCCGCTTGCTGAAGCCGTTGCGTGTACGCTGCTAAAAGCCGACGGCGCGCACAATGCCATCATATTACCAACATTGCTGAGTAACAAGCGCCGTTGCTGGTTAAAATCACAAAAGCTAGGTGCTGTTTGGCACGCGCTAATATTGGCGCTGCCACCTTCCTGACCCACAGACAATTCGCTATCTTCACTGCAAAGACTCAACGCATCATCTTCTTCTTCAACATCCGCCTCCGTATCCACTTCCTCCTCACACCGTATTGCTGCCGCATCAGCCAAACGTGCTGCGGCGGTTTTGGCTTCCAATTCAACCTCCCTCTTTGCACTACCCTCGTCATCGCCCACCACATCCATTTCATCAGCTGAATCAATCGATTCGCACATATCGACCTCGTCCAACGCGTTCGCCTCCCTGGACATTGTGTCGCTGTGACGCCTGTGCTTCTCACCTGCCAAAATAGACGCGCTTGGGCTCAAACGCGGACTTGTTACGCCATGCGCTTGCAACAGCATACAATCCGGATGCATATCGACGCGACGTCGACGCAGCGCGCACAGCTGTTCGAGTATGGGCGGTCGCGTTTGCGATTGTGACGTCAGTCCGTTGAGCGGTGACGTGCGGGGCGACAGTGAAGCTGATGAATTGACACAAATCACTGGTGACAGCGTCGGCGTCGCAGGTGTGGATAATGCGTTTTGTGTGAGTGTGCCGCGCGTGGTCGCGACCGTTGACATTGAACTGCTGGCAACTAGCACCCACTAAATTCGTTTCAGTTGCGCACATGGAACGCCGCAATTGATGAAAAGAATTTACACATCAAAAATTGTTTTCGAGTGAAATGCCGTCGGCAAGAAAGCGTTTATTTTCACGTAAATCTGGGTTCACTGCCGCTTGTCACTTTCATAATCATACTTTATAAATAACTAATACAATGCGAACACATATACACATACACGCGCGTGGCTGTCAGCAGCGTGGCATCGATCAGCAAGTCAAAACGTTAAGTCCAGTAAAAATCGCACTCACTAATTATTGAAACGGTGTTGAAAAAACGCGTCGGCAATTCACAATTTTTCAGCTTTCATGCTTGTTCTTCTTTTCACAAGTACTATTTGCTTTGCTCAAGCCACTATTCATACACTATACAAGTACCGCTTGTGTTTTCTTCTACGCTTTGCTTTTGTATTTTTTATTTTGCTTTGTCGGTCAAATGCTATAAAAATTTCCAAGTAAAAGAGACGCGCGCGCCCGTTCAATAACTCTTCGCACTGCTACTCTGGCCGACCACGTCGTTTAACTGAGACCGGCGCCGTCGCGTATAGCCGCGCCACATGCGATCGCACATTAAAACGCCTGCCAGTTAGAAGCACCCACCCCTCGCGCCTTCACTATACAGCGCAAATTTCCACTTAGACTGCACATAAGCACATAGGCGCTAGGTGGCAAAGTCGTTCGCTCACTCGCTCGCTTGCCAATTTCAAATGAGCCAACAGCAACGGCAGTACTACTATAACGCTCTCACGCACACAAACGCCGGCGCTCTCTAGAAGTATATCAGACGCCTCACAGTTTGACTGCAGCGCGCTGACTGAAATTGTGCCCAGATCCAATGAGAAACGCGTTGTTGCAGTGCATGCAGCGCTGCGTCGCCGCTCAGTGGTTCGGCAGGTTTTTTGCCTGCGCACTGCTGTGAGAGTGAGAGCGCGTATGTTTCCAGCACGCAGCTGCCGTTAACACAAATACATAGGCGTAATGGTAGTATATAAGTGCGCTATAGGGCAGCTGCGCTGTGCGAAAGTTGAGAAAGAGTGTGGACTAGTGTTGTCCGCGTACGCGAGTGGTGTGAGCAAGCAAAATGTATATTCACTGGTGAGTAGTACTAGTACTAATGCGCTAAAAGCGTGCCACTATATTGTGCTTTGTGTTTTTGTTGCTATTGGCTTAAGTTTGTTTTGCTTTTTTGTTGTTCTTGTTGTTAATAAGTTATATTTTACGCTATCCACTTTGTTACTGCTATGCTGGGGTTACTCTCTTTAAACTACGCTAATAAATTGCTTGTTGTTGTTGTTTGTTCTGCTATCGTTTTTCCAATTCTTCTTCTACCACCTCCGCTGCTGCTGTTATTCTTGTTGCTACATCCATGCATACATATGTACGGCAACTGCTTTTGCTTTTATCCTCGCGGCTTCACTTACTTTTATCAATATTTTCTTTATTTATATTGCCGTTGTTATTATTATATTTTCTTTTCTGTCATCACTATGCGCTTCCCATATTCTTCTTCTCCATATGAATTTTGCTGAAAATACAAAAACATATTGAGATTTGTTGTTATCAACAATGTTGCAGCGGACATCGTGCGGAAACTCGCAAACAGTTTCGTTTTTGCGTATGCATGTATGTATGTATGTGCGTAGTCTTGTTTATATATGGTATAAATATGTTCTATATCTGTACGTATCTATAGACGTGCATGTGTTCGTGTATTTTGTTATTCTTGTTGCTGCTGTCATTTGAGGTTATGTTAAGTGCTTGTATATTTGTTAATTAAGTACGCCGTCGACACTTGAGCTCATTTTCACTGCCAAAGTTAGGCAAAATGTTTGCTGCTGCATATGAACATATGTATGTGTATATAGGCATGCCTGTCTGACTACATATCTACATATATACATACAACACTATGGGTATTCCAACTTATAACATGAAGGTTCGCTGTTCATTTACTTTAGGGTGATCGGCTATAAGACTTTTTAGGTAAAAATTAATGTTGATATATTTTATAAGAATAATACAGGTCAGTATCCGAAAATATGTTTAAAATCATTTATTATGATTGTAAATTATAACAAGTAAAGAAAGCTACGTTCGGGTGTTCCGAATTTATAATACCATACACAAATACAAAAGCTTACACGCAAGCACTTGATTCCGATCTTTCAGTTTGTAAGGCAGTTATATGCTATAGGAGTTCGATCTGAACAATTTCTTCAGAGATTGTACCGTTACTGTACCGTTATATATTTATATATAGGGTCTCCGACATTTCCTTGTGGATGTAACAAACTTCGTGGCGCACTTAATATATGTACCCGGTACAGAGTATAAAAAAGTTGCGTAAGAATTATTAGACTAACGAAAATCTTGATATTTAGTATATGAGATCTGCGGTAATATTATACAAATTTGCTAAGATAAGATATAAAGGCAACCGGAGTTGCAGTTGTTAGTTAAGATATTGACCGATATATACATATGGTAGTGAAAAGGATAGAGAAGGCACTGAAACAATTTCAACCATTTTTAAAACCAGCACACATTATTACCAAGATAAGACTCTCTAAGCTTGACAAGTTAGGATAAGATTTCGACTATTTTTGGACATGAGATGTCAACCTTGAGGGCAATATTTATACAAAATGTTTTCCGATAACTTCATTGCTATATGATTTGTATACTGTAAATGAAGGGAGCAGATAGAATTTAAAATTTTGTTATATAGAAAGTAGGCGTGGTTTTATGTCGAAAAGAAATTCCGCTATGACCAGGCATCCAAGTAAGTGTAATAATGAAGTAAATTTATGCAGTTGATATGATGAGTAATGAAAACATTTATAATCAAACACTCCTTAACTAGCCTTGAGTGCACAGTCAGCGATCTCAAGGCCAGTGCTGGCTGGCGGTCTGCTACCGGAACCAATGCTCATCTCTCTAAAGGAGATTGCACTTCAGAGCAGATCATCTGCTGCTACCTTAATGGCAGCTAACTCACTAAAAAGACATTACAGTAGTCTTGTTGGCAAAAACTAGAGATTATGTAGAACTCCCAAAAGTATAATGAATAAGTACAAGCGGAAATTAAAGGCATTAAACTATGCCTGTTTCTTCATAGAATAAAGAAAATATTTGAATTTTGTATAATGATTCTATGTATTATAAATTAATAATCATAACTATCTGTTTTTTGTTATTAATAATTATAACTGATTTATAATTTAACTAGCAGGAATCGTTTCGTGAGGAGCCAATTGCGCGAGTGATCCGCACTGCACTTGTTTTTTGACAAGTAATTTTTTTCTAATACGTACATTTTTAAATTCATTATATCTTTCAAATTGAATGTCCCAATCGTATACTCGTAATTCAAAAAAATATGTAAAGGTATTTTATCAGTATTGAATACTAAGCCGTTTATTTTGATAAGGATTAGTATCAAGGTACAAATAAACAGCTTTTACAGACGCGTAAATTTAACGTAACTATAACAGTTGGACATATGCCATTGGGACATTATTGTAGATAATTATACGTTCTTCAAAGTCGTAGTATATTTTTTTGTTCTATAATCAATAGTATTTGCAGCGCACGCGTTGTAAGAAATTCGTTAGCTCATTTTTTTAACACCTTGGGTTACATTATTGGCGTTTTAGTAAGGATGCCTAACTTTTTGAAAATACAATATACCCTATGTTGACCGGAGACAGTGTAACTTAACAGTGGTGATAGAATTTTTCAAAATTAATCAAGGCTTCGAAACTGCCTACTCAATTCAAACAAACAAACGAATTTTTCCGCTTTATGCTATTAGCATAGATGATATCAAATTGAATTACTCATTATGATTACCAAGAAATTGTTCCGAATACTAATCGTAATGCAAATGTAACATCTCTACTCAAGATTAAATGGAGAACTAGGAAAGAAGAATTGAATTAATACAATTGCTGAATAAAAGATACATATGGTACACATACATATAAACAAACATTTCTTTAAGGCTTTTGGTTGAAAATATCTATCAATAGGGATGCAACGCGAAGTCTCCGCAGGAAATATTATTGAGATGGTTTTTCATCTTTTTAAAATGTTTAATTCATGCAAATTTTGTGTTTAAAAATTTCGTTTCTGAAATTTCTTAAACATAAGTACATATTAAATAAATTCATTATTGAAATATGTGTTTATTCATTAATTTTTGCATACTTGTAGTTATTATATCTAAGACTCACTATTCATCCAACCGCTGGTGATGTTAGCAATTGTTGCCATTAAACGTATGCTGAAAAATCGTCTCAAAGTTTGAACTGCTTTTGTAGGTTTTGCCTTACCAATGACATACAATTGCTTGCTGTTGTGTTAGTTAAGCATAACTTAACTCAAATAGCTTGCACCGTCCCAACGCATGCCAGTTTTGTGCCTTAAGTCTTTAGTTTGTTCGAGCTTAGCGGGTATTGTATACAAATTTTTCGACTCTTATTTTTCTTAGTTATTATTGCATATTTATTCATATTACAGGCAGCTCAGCAATTTTTCATAACTTCACTTTTCTTCTTTTTTTGGCTACAATTCGTTGGCGCTTTTCTGTGAGCGCAATAAAAAGTCTCCTGCGGCTTTTGCAGCGTGCAACATTTTCATTTGCAATAATGCGCGCTGCAGTACTTATAACTTCGCCACAACTAAACCCATTTATTTTTGTATTTTTAGTTTTTTGTTGTAAAATATTATGAAACTATAAATGTTTATTGCATACTTGCAATTGATTTTGCCTTCGCATTCAGTTCGCGTTTGTTTACTTTTCATAAAAGCAAGTTGCCTGACAATCTAGCAGTATAGCTGAGAGAAGTGCAATTTTCAGTTATTTATCTTAAGCATAAACATAACTATCAGCTAATTTGAGAGAAGCTTTGTTAGTGCGACTTTGTGTGAATAACAATATTTTATAATGACAGAATTATAATGACAATTATTTATTATTAGATATATTATATAGGCAAAGTGTGATAAAAATGTTTCGATAAGAACTTAATGGAGAATAAACGTATAGGAATTTTTATTGCAAAATACAAGACACCGCACACTCACTATAATATCATAATAGAATTAATCAACTATCCAAAACGTACCTAAACATTTGTAAATTGAAGAGATGTAGACCCTCAAGAGGCTAAGCACCCCCTTTAACTTACTACTACTTATGTTAGCTACTATTCCTTTATTCATTTAAAAATATGTCAAATAGCAAAGAAAACATGAACTAAATTTTAAATATCTCCCTGAAAGCAGTTTCCTAAAAAAAATCTTAAAGTTCTTATAATTAAGTAGAAAGTCTCTTTCAAGGAAGTAAAAGGTTCCATCGAAAACCTCCATTGTGTTTCATAAAGCATCATTTTGGCCTAGTTGTCCATAAAAACCCATATACGACTAAATAAATTAATATCAAATGGCATGGTAGTTTCCATTAAAATACGAAGGTAAGCTTACCGAGGCGTTTGGTTTAAATCATCTTCAGTTCT